ATGAGCTCCTACGTAAGATCTTATGTACTATCCTTTATAGGATCCTACATAGGTTCAAATGTAGGATCCAATGAAAGAACCTATATAATTTCTTATGTGAGTATTTGACATAGGTTACTATGTAGGATCCTACGTGAGTTCGTATATAAGTTCTTATGTTCAAATTAATAATTTTTTATTCATAGAATGAATTGTATATATTATAGAAAAGAGAACGTGTTTCTTTATAAAAAGGATTAAAGTTCTAAAAAATACTTTTTCTTTATGCTTTACCAATAAAATGTTAAATAAAATTAAAGAAATGAGATTACGTTAACCATCGCTACATATTAAATTCTTCCGAATAAAGAGACAAAAAGTATATAAAATTCATGACATTGTTTTATTAAATCAATGCTATAACGTTACAGAATTTGTAATATTCACACACTTATAAATAAAACTCAATCCTAAATTTTCTGAATATTAAAAATTCTAACAATGAAATAGCATGTCTTCGCTGGTTTTTAGTTTGTAATTATTAGTTTATAAAAAAACATGTTTGAGTTGTATAATATATTTAAATTATTAACAGTTATCAACGTTGTACTTAAATTACTTGTAATGAAAAATTTGTACAATTTTCAATAACTAGAAGAGATATGGACATGTTTTGGAAGGTTTCAGTGAATATAATATAATATGAATTAAATATGGAACTCATATTAAACAGTCTGTGGTTCAAGAACAAGTAAACAAATTATTCGTTTGACTTTATATGCAAAATATAAACGAATACTTTGACTTCGTTATAATTAGTGAATTAGATTTTTAGTCATTCAGAAAATTGTTTTAAATGTCATTAATAAATACAGCTTAATTAAATGAATTATAAAACAGAAAACACAAAAAAGACAAACAAAATTATTATTATGGTTATTATTATGTCCCGGGGTTAAGAGGTTAATAAAATTAATTGAAATACAAATTCGGCAAAGGACAAATATATTCTTCATTCTGTAATTTTGTATGGACGCATACAGTTTTAATACTGTATGTTGGAAATGCTACTTTGTCAGGATTAATTTGTATAATCTGTTTCTGCATGCTGCATTTTTCTTCAATGATATTTCTACAAACAAGAATTTGCACTATTACAAATTCTTTTTTATTAAAATCATCCACAATTAATTCATTAATTTTGACATAAATATCATTGTTAAGTTGGGCAAAACTGTTATCAGAACGTTTATTTTCTTTCTGGGAAGACATGTATAGACATCCATTTTTAATCATTTTATTAAATGAACGAGCATGGGAACTTGATAATTCTAACTGTTGAATCCATGAAGCTTCTACATGAGATCCAATTCCAAAATATCTACATTCGGAACTTTGAAGAGTTTTTAGAATTGTATTAGTACCGATGTTATTACAGAATGATTTTACAATTGGCGAAGAATTTTCAAAAATATTGTCTTTTATTTTTGACATGCTGTATTTTAAATTAATAGATCTGCATATTTGATGTTGGACTCCTTTAGCAGAATGAATGACTTGCAAAAGTTCACCATTACCCGATTCAAAACCGTATGCATCGTGAGCCCATAAATGCCCCCAATTATATACGCTTCTTGCTAAATGTCGCAAGGATTCAACATTGAAGGTCATAGCTACTTTTGTGTACAAAAGCTCTGTGTCATATACAAATTCGTGCAATAATTTATCAGCATAATCTACTTCAACCGTCGAAATGTCCGTTTTTAATAGAATATGCACCGCTTCCACGAGAAAGGACCAATGTATCCACAGTTTGTAATCTAACACATTTTTTAAAACTGGTAGACTATAAAATAACAACCAATTTTCCCAATCTCTAGCTTTCCAAAATTCTCTCTCCGACAAAGGACGGGTTAACTTTGACACATTATGAGGAGCTTTTATTGCTGTTAGAAGTTTGTCTAACTCAATAATGTCACTTTTTCGAATTAACCCCGAAATCCCTTTGCAGCCAAACCATATTTTTCCGAAAAGTTTTGCAACTCCGGACAAAAGATGTAACCGTTCTGGTGGGCAACCGTCAATTATATCAAATCTGATTAAATTAATTAAGGGCGACGGACTTTTAATACCGAGTACTGGTTTTCCACTTTTTTTAATTTTATTCATACATTTTATGGTGTCTTTTTCATTTCTTTCTTGTGGAGGTGGATTAATAATTGGGTATTTTATACAACCAGTCTTCGGGTTTTTTTTGTTTGGCACCCACTCACCAGGATGGAGGCATAAATTACAACCGTATTTCCCATTAAATTGAATAAATCCTTGCATTGCTGGTCTAGCTACAGAATCAACAGAACATAATAAAGGGAAAACTTTGACATTTTTTTCAATTCCCTTTATAATGCATGGGATTCCTTTTGTAGAATGATCATTCATTTTATCGACAAATGGTTGTAAAAATATACGCATTTCTGGTTTATTTTTCCCAAACCACAGACCTGCAAGTATGAGTTCCTTTGTTCTAACAGACATTGGGACTTCATTCACCATTAAAAAAATTGTCCATATAGAGTAATTTGACGATTTAAATAAAGGAGCTCCGTCTGAATTAAAAGTAACAGTGGCATAATTTTGACTGTCATTTTCACTTAAACCAGAGAGAAATTTTCTGTAACATTTACCGTCAAATATGTCTTTGATTCTACCTTTTTCATAAACTCTCTCATTTACAATATAATTATAATAATCATCGTTTGATTGAAGTAGCATTGAAATCGGTGACGAAGTATCCAAGGTAACAAAAAAATCGCTGTTATCATTATTCTTTACGCTAATATCTTTCTGGCATTTAACGCATTTAATAAATTTATCTTTAGCAGTGAATTTTCCCAAATAGACATTACAGTCTTTACAAATTCCGTGTAATTCTGTGCAATTCTTAGGATAAAATAGTTTATCTACTAAATATCGAGTGCTTGGGAGAATCGGAGTTACAAACATGCAATTAATAAGTTTTATCAAATTACAAAATTGCGTTAAAGGCAGAGCATTCACAAGGGAATATCGTATTACCATCATTAATATTTCTCCAAGAGTTTTGTTCACAGGAACATCGACACATTTATTAAATTCTTCACTTTTCATGAAATTGTCAAGGCCATTATAATCTTGTTTTGAAGAAGTTAAGTTCTCAAATACGTCATCTTCAAAATTTAAATCAATGTTATTTAATTCATCGATCAATAAATCTTCATCACCATGGTTGAAAATTTCAATATTTTCCGAATACCTCTAAAATTTGACAAATATATGCTATTTTCAATTAAAGTGTTAAAATTGAGTAAAAAATTTGCCCTCACAATACCTTTAGGACATCCTATGGATATCAATATTTTTTCGGCGGTTTGAATATCCTCAAGATATCTTTGGAACTTATTTGAAATATCAATGGAAATCTCAAAAACATTTTATGGATATCCAAATCGCAGAAGGCGATTATCCTCAATATCCTCAATATCAATAATAAATAAAAAATTAATGACTTTTCTCTTAATTCTACTGAAAGATAAATACCCTCATAATATACTGATATTTCGGGATATCTTGCAGACGTCTTAGATATCGGACAATTAGAATATCGATAAAATGTCCCAAGGATATTTGTGTATTTGCTGAAAATATCCTAGAGATATCCTAATTTTCGAATAGCTCTATAAGGCGTCCATAGGATATCCTGAAACATCCATTGCTGTTCAGGTAGAGAATATGAAAAATATTATATATTTTATTTTCCTATTCCGGACTATCTAAACACAAATAAACTTTATAAAATTGTTTGTGTTTTCTTTGATGGATATATTATACTTTTTCATTATATTGTATTATAATTAGATTTTTAATTGATTATTTTAAAAATATTAATTTGGCAATATTTTGTTACGTTACTTGAACCAAAAGTTTTTTATCAATGTTTGAAATAATGATAAAATGTACATCAGATTTCAGTGAATAATTTCATTTCGGTGAAACAATTTCTTTTTTTATTCTTGCTTACGTAAAGAAAGATGAGCGTATTTGAAAAATTTTTTATACATAGATGACCAAAGTTTTAGTTATGAATTTGAAAGTTTTTATTTCTCAAAAGTAGAACATTTTTAATGATACTTATAACTCTAAAATTATTGAATTCAAAGATTTCGTCAAGAGAAGGAAAGTTAAAATGTTCTTTAACTTTAGAATAATGATAATACAAAAAATGTTTATGAATTTCTGTTTTAAAAATAATAATTTTTCACCAATTAATTTTTTTAATATAAGCATTTTTTAAAAAAAATTTTGTTTTATTTCTTATCTGAAAATAATCACTTAAAGCTTTAAAAAACATTTAGACACGTACAAAATTTAGTAAACATGGAATTTTTGTTCGTTATTTATGTGATATATATAGAAAATCTGGGTAATAAAAAACAAAAGTATATTATAGTTAAAATTGAATTCGCTAAGTACCTCAGAATATTGTAATGAATACTGTTCTGTGTCATCAACTTCTTCATACAATTGATAGAGATTATTTTTAATTTGATCTAAACGGTTTTCATTCTCTACAGGACTTAATATAGGTTCATTCCATTCGAGTGCATCATTTTTCGAACTTATATTCTGTTTAACAATAGGTTTAAAAATTTAATTAGGATTTATTAAATATGATTTTAATTGTGCATTCATTTGTGGCGATCGCAGGCTTCTTTTATTTATTTATTTAAGTTTATTCAAGTTTATCATTTTACATTTTATGTATTAAAGTTTACTTAAGCAAGTTATTGTTAAATTTATTTATTTATTTAAGCAAGTTTATTGAAGCATATTTGAAATAAATATAAAAATAATTAAGCGTAAAAGCAAAATATAAATGTTAAATTATCAAAAGTATATGTTGTTAAATTTTAGGATAGGATTAATCTCATATTAGTTACACAGTAGAAAAAATTATACCGTAATAATATATATTTATATTTATTTATATTATTTTGGGTGTTTTCGGCATTCACCCAGAGTTAACTCTAGAGTTAACAGTGGTGCTCAATGATATTATCTTTGAAATTGAAATTGTGAACCTGTGAATGGAGCTTTACTGTGCCTAACCTGACGTGAGGGAAATTCTTTTCACCTGCCATTAATTCACTGAATATCTGTTGTATTAACGTGCACGTGCTCGATTTAAGTGAAATAAATAATTATATATAATATATTATAATTTTGTATTTAAATTATGTCGACGTCTCATGAGAAATATAAAGTTATTAATACAGTCATTGATCATGTTACGGGAAATGTAATAATTGACCCGAATGATAAAAGCATTTTATGCTATCTTTTAAAAGAGGATGGTGAGTACATTTCAACATTAATTAATACATTTAAAATTAAAACATATTTTTATAATTACATTTTTGTAGCATCCCTATTGAAACAATAGTATTTTTTATATACGTAAAAATACACTTGTTTTTATAAATAAAACTATTTAAAAAATTTTTAAATTATAATCTCGTATTTTTATATTTATATAATTATCGCATTAGAAAATTCATCAATTTATTAATGTTTACTTCAAGAGCTTTAGTTTTCTCAGTCTTATTTAAATAAATACCTAAAATTACAAATCGAAAATGGTTAGGTACCAATTATCTCAATTTTTGTTTCCAAAAATTTTTTCCCCAAAATTAAATGCAAAACAAACAAATGTCTTGTACTATATTTTTTTCAATGAATGAGAAATTAATTTTGGGGAAAAGAAATTTTAGAGAATTGGTATCCAACCAAATTAGTTTATTTCGTAATTTTTTCGATTATTCAGATTAGTTCATGCATTTATTAGTCGGGAAAATGGGCTCTCTACTGTATTCTTCTCTAATATTCTTCATGTATAACATATATTTATTGTTTGAAATTTAATAAACATTCCTAAGGCGGTCAAACAATAGGCTATGTTCCTAGGGAAAATTATATTGAAGCAACGTCCACGGGATCTGAAAGTGAAGGTAATATTCAAAATGTCGAAGAACCATCAGAAGAGATTAATGAGAATGAAATTGAGAAAGAGGAGGAAATCGAAATACGAAGAAAGCCTGGGCACAAAACAGATGTCGAGAAAGAAAGTAAGAAAAGAAGTTAAATATTTTTTTAAGAATTGGCACAAAAATTTGAAATTTTTGTTGAAATTTCCCTTACTTTTCCCTAATTTTCAGAAATTTTTTTCAACTTCTCTTTTCACATTAACGAATTTAATTCTAAGCTTGCATAAAATTCATTTATTTTTAAAAAACTTTTAAAAATTTTAAACATTTTTTTTAAATCCAATTAATTTATAATATATTAAAAATCATTAAAAAATAGATCTCAATAGCTGTAAGCAGAAAAAAGGTTTAATAATTGATTCAATCGAGTAATGTGATAATTGAAAAGAAAATTGCAATATCACGTTGTCTAAATTGTTTAAAATATAATATTACGAAATATCGATTGCTCTAATACTTTTCAATGAAAGCATATTGAAAAATTTATCTTATTTCATAAAAATTTTGAAATAAAAGTTTTCAAAAAGCCGAGTTCTTCATAATTTTCAATTAACGTTACTCAATTATTTTTAATATTTTATAGAAATTTGCTGAAGAATTCAATTATTGAAACTAACTAAAAGATTGATATTGTCCCTCTGTTTTGCATAAAATTTCCTAATTTCGCTGAACTAATTTCCTTGATCTGCAGTAATCTTATTATTTTCAAAATTAAGAAAAATCTAAAATTGAAAAAAATTTGAAAAAATATTATTTGATATCACGCAAATTAGAAAATATTTTAGTGGCAATCCCGATGAAATTATATTAATAATAGGGAATTTAAATTTGCAAGAATCAACTTAATATTTAGCAGTATATTTAAAATATATTAAATTGATTAAAAATAAAACTTTTTTAGATTCTAAATCTTGTGGACAATGGACGGATGCGGAAACCAGAATACTTATTGAAGTGTACCCTGAAGTAGCAGATACTACTAAAGATAATCTGAGTCCAGTTTTCTGGAAAAAAGTAAGCGGTTTCATGGTTTCTAAAGGTGTCAAAAAGACTTTTATATCCTGTAGAGATAAATGGAAATCACTGACTCGAACATATAAATTCAATTTGTCCAAAAAAAAGGAAACTGGTACAGGCCCCATTACCTGGCCTTATTTCGATCTTCTACATAGTATACTGTTTGTAAAACCGGAAATTAATCCAGTCGCAACAGCTTCCAGTATTGCTGGATACAAGAGAAGATTGGCTGAGGACATTAAAAATGACGAAAAGGAACATTTGACTTCACAAAATAAGAAAAAAAAGAAAAATCACCCAGAATGGCTACAAGAATTAAGAAAAGATGCGGCCTTACGCCATGAAGAAAATTTGGAACTTAAAAATAAATTCATATCTTCTTTCATAGATTACGTCGAGTTGTTGAAAAAGAAGTAAGCAATTATCTTGTTTCAATTTTGCATTATCAAATTCCATATATTCTCCTAATGTTTACCGTTAGGCTGTCAGTTTCCGATAAAACTATTATTTTCTTTTATAAAAACATGTGATATTAGATTTAAAAAAAAATATATATATTTATATATATACAAATATTGAAATACGTAAGAAACATGTGCTGTGAAATGCTATATTGTTATAAGAAGTGAATTATAAGACTTAATTTTCCAATTATTGAGGCTGATAGGTATGAAAAAATATACGATTATTTAATAATAAATCTATTATCGAAACATTAAATGTGACAACGCGGTGTAATTAACTTATTTTCTATATTACCAAAGTATCACGTGATATTACATCAATCTAATGTTACATTTTAATATTACTAATGTAAATTAAAGTGATATTACAATAAAGACAAGTACTACTTGGGTAACAATATTTATTACTTCTTTGTCAATGTTATAAAATTATCTAAGAAACAATTTTTTGAAAAAATACATAGTAGTTTTGTAAAAAAACAATGTATAAATACTTTCTTTGTTATATCAATTCTACATTAACTATGTATAAATATTCACATATAAATTATAATTTAAAAACGGAAAATAAATGTTATTTTATCAAAATAATTTTAAAATCAAATTTGTTTTAAAGTTCACAAATACCACATGAAATTGATTAATTGCACTTTTAAAGCAATACAATTTCCCTTGATAAAATTTATTTTAAATCAAAATTTGATTATAAATTTTAAACATTTGTGGCGAATTGAATTTCCATTAACTTGAATTTTAATTAATTCAATGTTTGATATTCTAACTTTCATTTAAGAAATGTTTTTACATTTTTTTTTCTTAAAAATCGCAAAATATATTTCAATGAATGAATCTCCAGAACTTTTTCCACTTCGATCACTAATCATAAAGTAGCGATTAATAAAAAGAAATTAGATTTTTTCCGGGTCAGGGGTGTCACTCCCTCTTAATTTATATAAAAATAAAAATTTAAAGATAATATCATTAAGTTTCATAATATTTTACTTCATAAAGAAGAGAAATTCTATAAGTTAAATAATGCCATTTGCTAAATATTCGACTGTAAAATATATTAATTAATAGAAGATGAATAAATTCTATAAGTTAAACAATACTATATATTATAAATTCGTCTAGAAGAAATAAGATCAGTAATGTTTATTAAAATCATATTTGACTCTTTAATTATTATAAGGTTTGTAATTTAGCTTACGACATTGGAAATAATTTCTTTCAACATACTTCAGTTTGAAAATGTAGTTTTCTATTCCTATTATGCCGACTGAAACGTTATAATTATATCAAAAAATATTCTCTGCATATGTACATCGACACGAAAAGTTTTTTGTAACAGGTATAAAGTGGCTTACCCTTAATTTACATTCAAATTTAGTTAGAAATTTCAAATTTGGCGTAATAAAAGAAAAGAAAAACAAAAAATGGAAAAATGTTTTAAGAAGAAATAATAGCCGTAGGTTGAAGCACAAAAGTGAGTATAAAAGAAAAGATTCTAAAACGAAGAGAGAGGACTGTATTTTTTTCGAAATCATAGCAAGACGCTACTAATTGTTTTAATATAACTTTATCACTTTCCAGATATTTACAACACGACCAAGGTAAATTAACGTCATCACAAAATGTACATTAATATTCGCGATTTAAGTACATTGTGTTGGCAATTACATTACGTTTAATACCAGGATTAAAAATTGGATTATCCGCTGGTATTTGTAATAGCTGATCATCAAACTCATCGTTGAACTCTCCTTGAAGGTCATCCTCTTCAAGATTTACTATTTCATCCAGTAAATCATTTAGATAAATGCAAATATTGTGGAGGCAGCAACAAGCAAGAATGATGAGGGAAGCATACTCCACATTTTGGAGATATAGATATTTCAATCGCCGAAAACGACATAAAAGCAATGCAAATGCTCTCTCAATCACTTGTCGTGTTCTAGCATGTGACAAATTGTACCACCTTTGCACCCTCAATAAGTTACCATAGTCTTTGTAGGGCGGTAATAAATTGAAAAGCAAAGGATATATCTTATCTCCTAAAATATGAGTTTGTCCTGGGAAATACTTCTCAACATCGCGTTCACTCTCCTCTCTAATGTCACTCAGCTGCCACACTCTTGCATCATTGACACTTCCGCAACAACCAGCGTAAACATGAATGAATTGTAATTTAGCATCACAAATTCCTTGCATGTTGATTGAATGATAGCCGTTTCTATTGACGTAACTTGATGAGTTTTCGTGTGGTGCACTTATTTGGATATGACACCCATCGACAGCTCCAATAACGTCTGGAAATCCAGCGATAGTATAAAACTCATTTTTGCTTCTTTCCATTTCGTTCCCTGTAGGCCATTTAATGAATTGTGGTGCACGCGCACAAAGAGAAGTTGCCACATCCAACATGCACTGCCAAGCTATTGATTTGGCGACACCAAAGCGATCAGCAATAGATCTACAATTTTAAAAATTAATAAATATTTGCAGAAAACGTCTGGATTTTAAAACTGAAAAAATTTAAAATGCAAATTATTTATTCTAAAAAGTAAAAGTAGACATGAATACAAATTAAAATCTAGTACACTCAAATCTTATATAACGAAGTTTAATAGAACGCCCCTTTCTTATAACGAGCTCTTAATCTCTCATTTTAACAAGCTGAACGTTTTTCCTTCATTCGCAACTAAAAATATTTTTCATTACTCAATTTTAAAAGATTTTATCAGATTATTTTAATTTATTAAGTATTAATTAGTAAGTATTATTAAATTTTTAATATTATTATACATATAGAAATGAAATTATTGTAATTAAATCTACTTTTTCTGGAATTAAATACATAATTTTTAAAATATACCTACTTATTCATTAAGTGACATTAAACAAAAAATGACTTTAAATTATTTTCAGAAAATGATGTAAGTTCTTCTTAAAGGGGTTATTACTGCATTTTTTTCAAAATATTTATATGAAATGCATAATTTCAAAAAAAAATATGAAAAAGGATATGCACATTCAAAGAATTGTCTATAGATTCTAAAATTTCTTGTTTTCTTTTAAATTTTGTCTCAATCTTTTCAAAAAAACGGTCCTCCTGGTTTGGTTCGTTTAAAATAATAGTCAATTTTAAGTATGGCATTTACAGAGTGACCGCAGGACTAGGAAAGTATTGTTTTGAAAAAATTTATGTTTTGTAAAAAACTGTGTGATACATATTTAAGTCTTATGTTGATTAATAAACATCATATGTTTCAAATAAATAAAGTAACAATATTTACTACAATTTTATAAACCATTTTTTTCTTGGAAATTTTTTATGTTGTGTCTGCAATAGACAATAAAATTAAGTTATTAAAGAATAATAAAATATACTTCAACATACCGATAGACCTCCTGATTCGCAAATGTCCAAATTGAAATAGCCAATTTTTTCATAACTGGTACATTTAAATGAGGCTTATTTAAATCTGGACCTAAAATCTGACCTAGCTGTTCAAAAGTTGTCCTCGTCATTCGAAAATGAGATTGGAAATCTGTTAGTAATTATGCGAAAGAAATTAGAAGAAAGAAAATAATTTTAAATTTTACAAATTGTGGTTTATAAGTTGCAAATTCTATGAGATTCGTTTGAAGACAAATACTTGCAACATTTACTAAAACATTATTTACTTCTGGAAGAAATTTAATAACATAAGTTCTAGAAAAATTAATTTTTAAAGCTTCTTTGTGTAGTGTTTAATTGCACAAATGTTTTTTCAAAAAATATTTATCAACTCCTATCTTTTTTGCAAATTAAATATAATATTATTTAACAAAACAATAAATTGTATTACATTTTACATCTATCTGTTAATAGAATTTGAATATAAGTGGAAAATTAATTTCAAAGTTTTCATTTAGGTAAACATTTTAAATTAAAGCGTTCTTAAATTATTTATACCTGAAAGTGAATACGTTGGAATCGTTTCTTCAAAAAAGTTTTCACTCTTCTGATGTTCTTCTCTTTCGTCCACATTAGCCAGATATAAATTAAGGATTTCGATCTCCTCTTCTTCTTCCTTATTAAAAATCATATTGTAGGCAACCATGGCCACCATAGGAAGTTGTAGATCCTCTAATTTATTTTCAACATAATAATTATTATTACAATTTACTTAGGATGTCGTAGGATCTACTTTGAAAATAACAATTTTTTAGAAGCAAATTGGTTTTTCTAATGCAAATTTAGCAATTTTTTTAATGTACTTACATCGTAATACACGTTATTAAAAATTTGTTATTTACAAAGTAAACTTTTTCTTTAGAAATAAATTATACTAAATAATTGAATTTAAAAATAACTTACTTCAAGTTAATAATTATAGTTAAATTACAAAAAATTTAAAATTTTAGCTTTTAAACTAATATTTTTAAAGAAATTTAGAATAATTCATTATAAAAATGTATTTAAGTTTCAAAAATTTATATGTGAAAATAATTTTATTTATATAAACAAATCATTGAAAACTTTTCATATAATTGAAATTTAGTATAATTTCCGAGTCTAAATTTAAAACTTATATGCAGACTAAAATACAGGATTTTTTCATTTGGTTTTAGGAGTAGTTATGTAGGATCTGATTTCAATACAATTGAGGAGTCGGGAAGAAGATCTTACCGAGCGCTCGGACCCTACCAGTTGGGTAGCAGTAAGTGCCCAGAGGCGCTTGCTGCTTCTTGACTGATGTTAGAGCGTGCGTCCGAGCGCTCAGTGAGATATTCTTCACAGCTTCTCAATCGAAAGGAAAGAGAAAATTTAGAGAAAGATAAAATAAAATTTATGTGATTACCTGGTAATTGTAAATTTAATAATTTGAAAAATCACCTTTTACTGAGCTGAATCTCCTTTTAAATCACTAATGAACTAAAGGGGGTATGTTTGAGATATCCATAATATTTAGATTTTAAGCAGGACTTTTTTCAAAAAGTAATTTAGAGAAGTTTAGAAACATTTTAAAAAATTGTATACTTATAAAAAAATTTATTTACCTAAATAAAATAATTGATTTTCTATTTTCATCACCCTGAGTTTGAAATTAGTTGTCCTTGTTTGCTTACTTTTTTTTAATTTATACGTATTTTTTGTTTTTCATTTAAAAATGGAACATATTTTTGCTACCCATAAACGTGATATTTTTTTAAAGTTTATAATTTTCAAATTTTTCATTATTTCCCTAACTTTAATTAATCTGAATTGTTTTAGAAACTAGATTATTTATTTTAATTAAAGTTGTTTTTTATAAATAAAAAATTAAAATAATTTTTAATAAAAATAAATTATTATGTTTCAATTTACACTTTTCAAAACAAACAATCCGTTCACAAATTTTGTCGGCCATTAAAGGTTAGGACTGACCCTTTTTCTTTACTCTCGCAAGAAAACAGAGTTAACTCTGGGTCATCTAGTAATAAATTTTTGGGGACTTTTATGAAATCTAGAAACAAAAAATTTTATTTTAACATTACATTACTAGAATAAAAGGCCCGTTTCACATGTTATTACAATTGCAAACCCTGCGCCAATCAAAATGAATCGTCTATGCCAAATTGCCAATCAACAACGTTCACAACCAACAGACGAACTGAAAATCAAAATTTACATTTGAGCACCACTGCTAACTCTAGAGTTAACTCTGAGTGAATGTCGAAAACACCCTTTGAAGGACACGTTTTCGACTCCGATATAATGTACTTAAAGGAATAGGTTCCTCTGATTGTGGTCCTAAATATTTTAAATATTTATTCGGTGGTCCGTTCATTATAATCTGAAAGGAAAGCCGCTTTAGTAAATGTAGCTATCCTTATATTCACAAATAACAATACAAAAACACGAAAAAATTATAGTTAAATGTATTATAAATTTATTTAAATTTTTTTATTCTTTTATGAAATGTATGTACGTAATTTTTTATTTTAGATATCACAATTGTTTAAATTTTCAGAAAAAAATGTAGGAAATTAAATCTATAACTATAATAATAGTTTTTGAATTTTTAATTTAATAATGGATTAGTGTTTGTTGTAATTATAAATTCAGTATAAGATAATTATTTTTAATTACTTACAAAACATTTGTTGATTCCTTCAAAAGAATCTTGTTTAAATAAAAAAATATATAAATTCTATTCTGTTTTTTCGATTATAAACGAAATTTCCAAACTGTTTAATAAATTGGAACTGAATGTTTTTGAAAAGTAACTTTTTCAAAATATTTTGCATTTAATTTGAATTTAAAAAAATACAATTACAAATGATTGACATTATTTTTTATATTTAAATGTCATTATTACAAAATAATAGAACTGTCAAACGTAACTATGGCAAATAACAATAAAATATCAACCGTTGTTACGTGTCTATTGTTTATTAACTTTTGACATGTCGATTGGAATAATTCAACCTCAAAAATGGAAAGTCAATCTGCTGCTACTCAAGAATTATTAAATGAAAAATCTCCAATGTTTGCTCTCGTTCGGTACTTGGATGATGATATTAGGAAAATAGTACCTGTATCCGACATTAAACATTTTAAACCAAAAAATTTGGAGGATTTTAGCACAACAAAAGCGTATTCGGTTTGGTGGTCCCAAGAAAATTCCGAAAGCGATGATGGAGATTTTTACAAAGCTAATGTAGTTTTACTGGGTAGTGAGTGCATTGAAATTTATTTCACATATTATTGTATTATAAATAAATTTTTGTTTATTATTTGTTACAATTTGTCTTAAAATAGCCAATTTTTATAGTTTTTATTTTTAAATGATTATTAAATATTATCAAAAAATTATTTATTTGAAGTATTATTAATGATTTTAGCAAGCAAATTAGATTTGGAAAATCAATCCAATAATCGTAGGTTGAGATTACCAAATAAAGAGAATCTCAGTTTCTCTAGTACTATATCTACAGACGCAGAGAATGGAGGCAACGGCAAAAAGAAACAAGTAGTAAAATCAATAAATAATAATAACTCATTTTTATTTATAAATAACATAACCATGTCTCTAAAATATATAATAAAAATAATTGAAAAAGTATAGTATAATAATAATAATAACAACAATAACAGTTCCAAATACAATAAAATTAATTTATTTATAAAAATTTATTTAGTCCTTCTTTTATTTGAGCAAAAATAAACCGAACTATTTAAATATACAAAAGTATAATAAAATTAAATTAATTTTTTCCAAATAAACATAGATTGCAAAAAAAGCGAAAGTGACCAAACATTGTGACTTTGAAAATAACAGAATTATGGAAAAGCACAAAGCTCTTAAAGAGCGTCAATCTCTTGGCAGTTCTACATCAGAAGTAGAGAGTAGCAATGAAGAATCAGATTTTGAAGTGGAAAACTATCTAAACCTAAAAAGAAAACTTGAAAAGTACGAAGAAGTACTAAAGTTAAAAAAACAACGTTTACAAGAAAAAAGTACGAAGGAAACTAATGGTCTTGAAGAGCATATCAGTTCTTTAATTGATTCAGATAATGATACCGGATTAGGAAACAATAATTCTTTTGTCAAAGGTAGACAATAAATTTTATCTCAATTTATTTACATTTAATTAAATAAATATTAAACCTTTTTTCGTTTTAAAGAAAAATAATTTTTGAAAATTGGATTATTAGCTTATTCTAACCACAAAAATAAAAATTATGTATCCGTCAGAGAAAAAACAAATTATTTATTCTCCTTCAAAAATTTATCGATAAAGAAATTTGTTTAAATATATTTTACATAAAGTTTTAATTTAAAAACTGTGACAAAAATTAAATGTCAATTGGTAAAGAAAAGAATTTATTGTACTTCAAAATTTTATTAACAAAAAAATTATATAAGAATATTTAAAAAAAATTTCAATTGAAGAATTTGAAACAACATCGCCACCAAGCCATCAGAAATCGCATTCACAATCAGGGCGAGAGAAATCATCTGCTCTACCATGTCCATTAAATAATAATTCGTCAAAAACTTTACAAGAAGGAAATTCTTCTCCAAAATCTGGTTCCGAAAATCCAGAAATTCCCAAACCAGTAAACTTTATTTTATAAATTTTCTTTAGTGATGTATCTGTTATTTTCTATTATAATAGATTTTTTTAGTCTTTATTTATGAATGTAAGTTTAAAAAATATAATGAAATAAATACTAAACAGCCCGTGTAGAAATTGAATCTGGGCACTAGCCATCCCCTAGCCGGGAGCCCGACTTACAGCCAGGCCCCGACCAGCGCCCGACTTGTATTGGGGCTAACCTGGGCTTTTTCTACACGGGAGAATTAAGTAAAAAATTTTATTTGGTATTTTCCATAATTAGACCGAAGAAGGTGAGGAAATTCTGATTCCTGGTGCAGAAAGAAATAGAAGATTAATCGATAGAAGTACACTTGAATTTGATGCATTTGCTGGGCCCAATGAAACAATTGATTTGACAGATAGGGAAGTTCCGGAAAATGTAAATATTATATCTCCCCCCTCTCTATCTCTCCCTCTGTCTATATAAATAAATTAATTATTAGTAGCGTACATTTTTGAAATTTATATACGAATTTTTATTAGTAATTGTAATTATTGTAATTTTCAATAAATTAAAATTAATTAATTCAGTTACCCTTTTAAGCTTTAAAGTTAAATCATTTTCTATATTTAAACAATATTCAAATTAACTTTTTCTGAATATTAGAGGACTCAAAACGAACCAAATGAAAGTGAGTCGGATATGATTACTGATCCTGCTAATAAGCGACTTTCTGCATCTGAGTATGTGAACAATGCAATGACAAATCCAAGGGCTTTCCAGCCGATTGCAGAGAATTCAAAATTGGTACATCTTACACATTTTAAAATTCCTTTATTTTTTTAAACATGCTTTTATCGCTATAATTTATATTTATAGGAGATTACAAATAATAGTAATAATTCATAAAAATAATTAATAATAATAATAATAAAATTTGTTTAATTCATAAAGTTAATATAGTTTATCTTAAAAATACTTTAATTATTAAATGTGACTAATTTGTTCAATTATAGATTGATTTCGGAGAGGATATTAATATGCGGAAAGACGTTTTTGAAATTATGCAAACTAAGAAAGATTCGAAATTTGTAAGAAATGTTATGGAACATGTTTGGAGTGACACATTAGCAACTAAATATTTTGATCCGAATCCAAAAAAAATAAATAAAGATAGGTTACCTGGAGTCACAAGAACACCTTTATCTCCTAAGAAAATTCAAATAGTATATGGTAATTAAATTTGTTGAATAATTCGAGAAGACTTATTTTTAACAATTACTTTTTAATTAGAAGAGAAACCAGTAAAATTTAAACCATTTGATATTTACGTTGTTTATGTGCATGAATTTTTTGTCATTATTAAGAATCTAAGTTTATTTATATTAATAAAATTAAAAAAAAATTTGGACCATTTTCCTTTAATTTTCAATTTTTGAATTTTTAATTTAATTTTTGAATTTTTTATTTATTATTTAATTTTTGAAAAAATTAAAAAAATTCGAAATCAATACGGTTGATTTTTAAGAATTATGAAAAAAGTTTATAAAAATTTAAGAATAAAAAATAATTAAAAATCGGACAAGTATGAGTTACATTTGTACCCATATCTACGGTTCCGCACATGAAACTATATACGTTTTTGTTAAAAATTTGTACAAGTTAGAAAAAACTCTTCTAAAATTGTCATTCTTGAAAAAAAAATTATTTAAGTTATTTTCAAACAGCGTTGTTATAATATTATGAGAATTAACTCGAAAAAATGGTACTTAATATTAGAAATTAATAGGGTAAATTTAAGAGATAAATACAAATTTTTTACTCTTCTCCAGATTGTCTTCAACACAAATTGAAAAATGCCAAAGTTGACGATACTAAAATGAGGTTGCGATTAAATGAAACTGGGAAATATATAACGCAGAAAATTAATGATGAAATAAGAAAAGCGAAAAAATTAAAAAAATGAACTTGGCTTTGTACTGGTTTAGGCTCGGTCAACCATACACGATCTAACAAGATTTCTACTTCTACTTTAATTCTAGTGTTACATTTTATTTTGTTTCTTGGGCAATTTTTTTTATTTAAGTTTGGCAGAAATTGTTTATTATTAAAATTTATTATACATTTTTCAACTTATAATTTCACATTGAATATGTACATGTAACTGATAATAGTACTCATTAATTTAATAAAGGTTATAATGCATTTATAAAATGTAACTTGATTTTTTCAATTATTCTAATTATTTGACCAAAAATATTTTTTGTTATTTTCATAATAAATCAAAAATATTATCAAATTAAAGCATAATTTTTGACTAATAATGTTTAATATAAAGAAATTTATAAATTTGAGTCCCGTTTCGATAGGTTTCACTATATTGTTATTTAGAAGAATTGGATAATTTTATGTGTTTTCTGAAATATTTAAAATTATTTTTTTCCCTATGAATGTGGCTTAAGTTTTTTACGTGATTCAACCGGTGAAAGTGAACCGGTCACTTTCTTTCGAACACGCTGCTGGCACGGTGATGGGATGGTGCGCTACCAAAGAATTAAGAAAAAATAGTTTATTATAAGTTTATTTTGGAAAAGGAAATATTCAACAATGGAGGAAAAAAGAATCATAATCATAGGATCGGTTTTATCCGAAAAAGAAACCTTAGTTAAGGAGGGAAGTCAAATTTTATGCGACAATAAAAATATTGATACCAGTAAGTATAATATTACGAATAGATTATTCTAATAATTAATTTCATGGATTGTTTTATAATAAAAATGAAAATATTATAACTGATGAACACATTAAAAAAAACTTTATAGTTATAATTTGTTAAACTTAGTTTATAGCAAGTTATGCTATTATAGACTAATTCTCAGAAGTATCTGAATTTCACATCTGGGTCAAAGCACTGAAAATCATCCAGTTGCTGGCATATTTATAAAAAATATAGTTTTAATATATGTGAAACTAGATGAATTTCTGAGTTTATTATGGCCATAATATATTGTATAAATTTTATTTCGTTTAAAATTATTATTAATTCAAAGTATGAGGTTCACGAGGTGATTTCTTAACCTTAAATGTTGCACTTTTTTTGGAAACATTATTCAGAAACTATCAAATATTACATATATTATTACATATAATATTACATATATTACCGGAAACAAAAATCAATTTACCCTACATCAAAAAATGATGGAATTATTATAAAATTATTTCATTTTAAGTTATTAATTCGAATTTGAAAATTTTTTCGTGAAAAAAATTTCACATTTTTTCGAAGCTTGTAACTTTGTTCTGGAAGCTTAATAAAATTTGAGGTTTCGCATATATTTTAATATTGATATAATTTACCTGCTATAAAAATTTGGTGAGGGTATTTTACTTCGTTTAGAAATTAATAAATTTGAAAACTTATCAATTAAAAGGGTTGATTCTAGGGCTTGAAGTTAACAAAAAATCTGAAATCTCTCTCTTTTTTACGAGAATAGAAAGAGATGTAAAATTTTTAAGTCCTAGAAATAACATTTTTAAGTAAAAATTTTCTAAAATTATTATGTCTGTAACGGAGCAAAATACCCTCTCCAAATTTTCATAGCAGGTAAATTAAATCAATATTAAAATATTTGCGAAACCAAAAATTTTTTGAAGCTTCCAGAAAAAAGTTACAAGCTTCGAAAACTTATGAAACTTTTTCCACCAAAAAATTTTCAAATTCGAATTAATAACTTAAAATAAAATAATTTTATAATAATTCCATCATTTTTTGATGTAGAATAAATTGATTTATATTTTCGGTAAATAATAATATGTAATATTTTATAGTTTCTGAATAATAACGTTTTCAAAAAAAGTGTTACATTTAAGGTTACAAAATCACCTCGTGAACCTCATACTTTGAATTAATAATAATTTTAAACGAAATAAAATTTATACAATAATATTATGACCAATAAACTCAGAAATCCATCTAGTTTTATATTTATTAAAACCAGATTTTTTAAATATATGCCAGCAACAACTTTTAGATGATTTTCAGTGGTTTGACCCATCTGTGAATTCAGATTTATGGAAATTTTATTGCTGCACAAGTTTCAATTTCCTTATCAATATTGTCTTAATTCCCAAGATTTAATTTAAAACTAATATTAATGTACGATTTTCTTCAAACGGTTTTATTAAGGGGGGAACACCAGTTGTAACTTTCGAAAAATCGATTTTTTTTTTGGTGCATTTTCTTAAAGTATACATATTTAGAAATGTGTCTGTAAATTTCAAAGTTGATCCGGTGAAAAATAAATGAGATATACAGAACACTGCAGCGGCGCGTCCCGTGGCTTCATACAAGGTGGCCAGCCATACCTGACCCTAACGACAGATGGCCTTTTCCTATGATTTAGAAACGGCAACCACTGCGGAAGAGTTATTATATGGTCCAGGAATCGATGACTCTTTGTAACTTAGAAACAAAATTTCTTCTGAACAAAAAAAAGTAAGTTGAAACTTTTAATGCGTTTTTCTCAAAATGACATTTTCCAAGTCGGTGACCACGATTACTCGAATACCATTAAACCGATTTATTTAAAATTTAGTGTGCTTCATTTACACATATAAGTCTAGTTCGTGATCGAAGGATTTTTTTTTTTAATCAAAACTTTTTTTTATATAGCTGAAAATCGACCGTATTTTTTTAACGAAAATCATACTTTTGACTTTGACAGGTCGCCATTTTGTCAAATTTTTTTTTTTTTTTAAATCCTTCGATCACGAACTAGATAATCTTATAATAAATGTAAATCAATTTCATTTTTGTATTTCAGACGAAGTATACTTGCAGAATGCTGGTCACCGCAATTCGCCTTTTTTCTTAAGACGCCACTTCAATGGCTCATATCTCCAAAAGTTTTTGTTAAAAAAATTTTTTTTTTCTTTTAAATTACAGCTTTTTACATGTACTTTTAACTAATAAATAGTATTCTTTAAAAAGATTCATTGTTCTTTTGGAAAATATTCTTGAAAAAAGCATTATTTTTTGAGTTACAACTGGTGTTCCCCCCTTAATAAAATACGTATATGAGAGATTCTTTTTCAATCGCCCCAGCCCAAAAAGTCAATGTTCTGGGATTGGCTTCATACTTTGGTAAATTGTTGTCCTATATGATAGTAATAAATCCCTAAAATATAAACTCATTAAAAAAATATTTGTAGAAAGTAGAGGGGGTTGAAGTTTTGACGTTAAGGGTAACATTGTCATTTTCAAATCCGTATAACTATGACAAAAGTTAATGGATTTTAATTTATCCATAATGAATTTTAATGCATTTTTCATGTTCTTTTCAAAAATGTATACGAAATTTAAAAAAAATAATTTTTAACCCCTTTTTTTCAAAATCAACCCTTATTTTTCGATTTTCACCCCTTCGGGTATTTTTTTTTTTTTATTTTCATTGGAAAGCTGAGGTTTTTTCCCATGAGCTATGTAAATATGAAAATGGGACAACAATAATTTTGTGAGAAACAGAATATTAAAGTAGGCGGTGCCGAGAATGGTGCTGTTAAGGGTAACATTGTCATTTTGAAATCCGTATAACTATGACAAAAGTTAATGGATTTTAATTTATCCATAATGAATTTTAATGCATTTTTCACGTTCTTTTCAAAAATGTATACGAAATTTAAAAAAAAAATTTTAACCCCTTTTTTCAAAATCAACCTTTATTTATCGATTTTCACCCCTTCGGGAATTTTTTTTTTATTTTTTTTATTTTCATTGGAAAGCTGAGGTTTTTTCCTATGAGCTATGTAAATATGAAAGTGGGACAACAATAATTTTGTGAGAAACATAATATTAAATTAGGCGGTGCCTACCTAAATCCTCAAAGATGATCTCCAGGTATACCCCTTATCGGCACCGCCTACTTTAATACTCTGTTTCTCACAAAATTATTGTTGTCCCATTTTCATATTTACATAGCTCATGGGAAAAAACCTCAGCTTTCCAATGAAAATAAAAAATAAAAAAAAAATACCCGAAGGGGTGAAAATCGAAAAATAAGGGTTGATTTTGAAAAAAGGGGTTAAAAATTTTTTTTTTAAATTTCGTATACATTTTTGAAAAGAACATGAAAAATGCATTAAAATTCATTATGGATAAATTAAAATCCATTAACTTTTGTCATAGTTATACGGATTTGAAAATGACAATGTTACCCTTAACGTCAAAACTTCAACCCCCTTTACTTTCTACAAATATTTTTTTAATGAGTTTATATTTTAGGGATTTATTACTATCATATAGGACAACAATTTACCATTTATGAAGCCAATCCCAGAACATTGACTTTTTGGGCTGGGGCGATTGAAAAAGAATCTCTCATATTTACTTATGAAAAATGAATTTCACAATTATGAATACATTTCAGATGAGAGATCGTACATGTTCATTGAGCAACATTTAGTGCTGAGGTGGCAAGAAGAAGAAGAAAAAATAAGAAGAATGGAAGAATTGGAAAAATCCTCTTCCAAAAACAGTACGGGTATGTATAAAGAAATATAAAATAAAATATTACTGGACATTAAGGGGTTAAACCACTCTAGAGCGTCAAAAAAAGGCCTAACTTTAGAAATTTTTTTCAAGAAAAGTTTAAATGTACTTAAAAATATGTTTACATATCTTTATTAGGTACACTTTAAAGAGAAAAAAAATATACTTCATTAATTATTTTTTTTTTAAATATCAAATTTACAGGTGCGTGATAGGAACCCTTTCCGAGAGGAATCACGTCGCAGCCGGAAAGGTTTTAGCTCCAATTTTCATCCTAGAACAAAAAACAAATTTCATTCTATTTTTACATCTTAAAAGCTAGAGAAAGACGTAGGGGATTTTTTTTCAATTGATTTTTGCAAAAATGGCGAACATTTTAAGGAAAAACCGAGTTTTTTACTTAAAAAATTGACACT